GTGTTTTGCAACACCCCTGTGTGTGACCAAATTTTAAATGAAAGAAGAAATGATCTGCAAGCACCTTTAGGCAGTGCACAGAGAAAAGTGTGCATATATGAATCACAATATATGTGATTACAGTCTTTAGTTCACTCCATTTCAGAGAACAGAGAGTTGACTTATGTTGGAGAACTATAAGGGAGTGTGTATTGAGCTTTACATGCAGTTTCCCAACACAGGCTGTTTTCTTTTAGTTCAGTGTCTTATAAAGAAGCTTCCAGTTTTTCTGGCCTAACCCTAATCCTACAGGGGGAGGCGCTGCCTGCAAATATGTATGCCACATGTAAGACGGAGTGCATAATCTTAGCCATGTTGTCCATCAAAGAAACAAGCTTCCGGTCAGGGGAAGATTGCACCGTGTCATTACTTACTCACCAACCCCACCCCTCTCCAGCCCCCATCATTATTTAGAAATATGGGCGTAGCATTGGATGAGCTCCAGGAAGGGTTGTACAACCAAACAAGAAATGCTCCATCCCTTCCTCATTTTCCAGAACACAACCAAAAGAGAACATCTCAAATCTCAGCTAGTGTAATCCACTTGGGTTTAGTTGTGCCAACTCAGCTCGTAGACTGAGCATTAGAGCTCTCTAACCTACATTCCTCTGCTGAGTTCCTATAGGCCTCACCCAGGGCAGCTACACTGCCCACATGCAGGAGGCTGAAAAGTTAAAGGGATAAAACAATGAATATGTTCATTCCTCCCTTTAACTCAAAATATCAGTCTAAATCTAAAAGCAAATTAAGCCTTATAGATTCATGTATACAGGAAAAGGTGTCACATTTCCTGTATGGAGCACTGGAAAGAGGAAAAAACGCAGCTATGGGGGCAGTCTGAGCAAATTTGGTAGGCAGATGGAGAGTGGCAGGTGACAGAGGCAGAACAGCCAAAATAAGCACAGCTCAGACACAAATCATAATGGAAGGTTGTTTCATGTTGAAGTAATAGCTAGTGTTTTTTATTTAAAAAAAAATAGTTCAACATTTAGGCAAAAATTATTTCCTGTCTTTCTGAGAGTTATATGTGAAGATTCGTGACACTCCCATGTCTTGTGTGATAAATATGAAAATACAGGCAATTATCTTAGCAGAAAGAATGGAAATGCTAGTCTGGCTCAGTCCAAAGGTGAAAATTCTGAGTTGTTACAGAATATGAAAATCTTTCTACTGCTGCTGTTTCATGGCCAGTTATTTCTCCTTCATTTCAGTCTTGTAATGCATTATCACCAACCTAAATGACTGCATTGGGGCTCCATGAGTCACGTCACTGAGAAATAAATTAAGTAAGCATACTAAACTCTGTAGCTCTATCCCAGCTAGTTTGCAAACTGTCAGATTTAGCTTCTACAACTTCTGTCACATTTCAGCAAACAAGCTTTATATTTGTATTTGCTCTATAGCCAATAATCAGGGCATGGTGTTAACCTTATAATTTCTTAAATTTTCCTTACCGACTGAAATCTGATGGACAATTTATTGTGTTCTGGGGATGTAAAAATACATTAAAGAGAATTACTGGCTGGAATTCAAGAGGTTAATTTGGTGTGTGTTTGGTGTTAAAATGAGGTTAAGCAGGAATTAACAGAAAGCGTTTGTTTGACTTCTGCACAATGAGAAAGAGTTAATTTATGCCTTTGTGTTACAAGCTTCTGTTTTCTTGCTTTCTTTTTTTCATGGTGCTCTGGGGATTCAAGATATACAGTGTAAATAGGCCAAACTCACCACGATGCCCAGACTAGCTTGTGGGTTTTCTTTTTAACTCACAGGTGTCTTAAATGATGTGCCAGATTAACAGACAAATCAAACTGGACTTGTTTTCAAGACGACCTAAAAAGATTTCCACTTTATTACACGAAGTAAACAGATTTTTGATTTTTCCAGCAAATATCTTTGGGTATCTTTTAGCACTACATACACAAAAAAATCTGTTCTCCTTTCAGTAACCTCAGTTATCACCGGCAATAAACAGTTGTGACAGATGTGATGTGTGGAGCTGAATGAAATTTACACTCATGGTGACAAAGTTGCAAAAATTCCACAGACATCAAATCATTCACGTCATTATTTTCTCTCAATCCATAATGCTCTCAAAGCAAATGCCAATGGAGATTCTAATTCCAGTCAATTTACAGCAATTCAAAGATTTTCTTAAATCAGTTGGCATGTTTTGCGAGTCTAGTTAAGGAATAATGATGCACAACTCAATATTAGGCCTACAAGTACATAACACCTCATTGCCAATAAGTGAAATTGTCTTACTTCAAAATCAGACTTTTTGCTTTGTTTTAGTAAAGACAGAATTTCAGCTGCCTTAAATAACTTGTGAAGATGCAGAGGCTTTCTGCAGTTTTAAAGCTGATTTCTCACACTGTCAACAGGGCTCTTTTAAGTCACAAGATACCTGGGTTCAGCCAAAGCCACAGCCCTCCTTCACACAGGAAGAGGAGATACACTGCAGATAGACAGGCTGCTATATCTATATTAACTCTTTAATAACCATGCCTGCAAATCCAAAATAGAGTGCTTATCAGAAGCTTCTTCATGTCAACCAGAAAATTATAAAGCGCTAACCTGCAGATATATTGTTGACCGCTGCTAATCTGGACATTGTTTTAGATCAAACTATGTATAATGATAAAATATGCTGTTTTTAAAGACATCAAATACACATTGCATAGTTACAGTACGTTAATTCAAACATCATGACTTGACTCTGTGAACTGATACTGTATCATGTCCCAACATCAACAATGGCACATTGATTACAACATTGTACGGTTCATTTGTTTGTCAGTAATTAGCTACCTTGTATATGAGTGAAGAAAATCAATGTTCTCTGTTCACAGACTCAGAGGTTTACAGGCAAAGAAAGAGCACACACCTATGAACATAGCAAAACGAGTCATTGGATTTTAAATCAGTTCTGATCTGATCTACAGTTTTATTTGTATTAGCAGACTTTCTTAAATCTAACTGTGAACATCCATTGGTTAACTATTTCAAAGGTGTACTTTTCACCAGATGAATCATAATTATTTATTACTTAAATCATCACTGCGAAAAAATTACGTTCTATTAACTAAAGTGAGAAAATGTTAATTTTGTTAATATGGGCCAGTGAAATAGCATTTCTATGTCTTGATTTTATTGTTGTAGTAGTAGCAGTTTGTATCTTGTCATGAGACTTCTCTGGCTTTCTATTTCTCTGTCTCACATACCTCTGCCCCAACCACAAAGTCTGGTGCAAAGGTATGACTTTGATGTAGTATTACCATTTTCTGTGTCTTTCCTTCTGTCAAGAAAAGTGTTAAAGGGAGCTTTTCCTCCCCACTGTCGCCAAGTGCTTGCACAAGGGGGATTTGTTGGGTTTTCCCTATAGTAGTAATATTGATAACAGTAAGGTCTAGATCTTACTTTGTAAAGTGTCCTGAGATGACTTTTGTTGTGATTTGGTGCTATACAAATTTGATTTGATTTGAAGAGAGCATTTGCATAAATTTTTTTAATGGATCGAGATTGTTTTGATGTTGGCCACTTAAGGTGCATTTATGGATATTGCAAGTTTGGATATAAAAAAAAAAGTACATTTATAATGAAACTCAATGAGGTTTCATGTATCACTGTGCTTCTTAGGCTAATTTGCTCTAACATAGTAGTTTGCTGTAGAGATATTTTTGTTTTCATCTGAAAGTGAGTTGAACTCTTGAGTTTTATTTTGTTAAAGGAAAATGATGTTGCTAGCTTGTTAAGCACACACTTGTTTCTTAATTATTTTTGGGCATTTCGTGCCATTATTAGATAGACAATGAGAGAGAGGATGGACATCAGATGTCCTTGGGTGAGTGCGACCTGGGTCAGTAGCTAACTTGAGCGCTGACTTTAAGCTACAGAGATACTCCAACTTAGCAGGTGGATAATTGCCAAGGTGTTAAAAATGCTTCCTGTGGGGTAGCTAGCTGTTTGCTGAGTCATTGCTTATGTGTTGTTTTTGGTATGTTTATAGGTGGTTGCTACATAGCTTCTTTTGGATGGATGTTAAGTATTTGCTTTATTGTTATATGATAATAGTTTTCAAGGTACTGGCTAGGGAGTGGTGGCTAGTGCCTTTTGAAGTGGTTGCTTAGGATGTAAGACATTCATATTTGGTTTTCTGATATGCCTATAGTATTAAACAGCAAGTCAAATATTTATTCTAATTATTTAGTTAAGGAGTTAGCTTCATTGAGTTTTTGAGAGTGGCTTGTGCAGAAGAAAAACAACATTTCATACAGTTACAGCAGTTTTACAAGAAGAGAAGCAATGACATTTCAAACATTTAAAGGTGCCTTAACTAGGATTTTACACATTGTTTGATAAATCAAGTAACAATGAGGCATGACTTGGTGTGTGTCTGCTATACTACCCTCCTCTTTTTTTCTTATTCCAACTTTTCCTAACTGTCTTTTCAAAATGTAGTCAGTAAGGTAGCCCTGTCTGCTACCTGAAAGGTTAGAAGAAGTGTTTATCTACCTGGCAGTAGTCACTATAAACAGCTATCCATGGCAGAGCTAAAACCAGTATCTGAAACCAGTTCTTCCAAACTCACTTTGAACATGAGGTAAAGCTAATGTTAAAATATCCCGTGACATGACATTGTAGCTGGTGCTGTTACAAGATACCTACCAGAGATAATGAGACATTTTTTTGCAGTAAAGCATTATAGAAAATAACATATAATGCAAATTCCCATCTGTCTCACCTTTTCATATGAGACATCAAATAGTATCAAGCAGCTTTTAGAAAGACCAAGTTTCAAAACTTGGATGTGGAGGAGAATGCTTTTCACAACAAAGAAACAGCCGATTACACACATTCCAATAGGATAAGGCATTGCAGTAGCATAAGTCTGTCTCTCCATCTCTTCTACCTGTCTCTATCATCCTTTCTTTTTTTCTGACCTTTCACCTTTGTTTCACCAGGTTTTGGACACTTTATCCAAGCTCTCTTACACGACTATTACACATCAAAGGGGATTCAAGTAAGTCACCAACTGTTAAAGACATTTCATTAAGTTGTCTAATATACATATATTTTTTAACCATCACCTCCTTCTCCCCTTACTCACACACATAGCTACATCTTACTCACCGATTTCCATGAGTTTACAGGTGTGTTTCTTCATTAACAGAAATGAGAAACACATTTTTTTTCCCCAAATACTGATCTTTTTTTAATGATCAGGCTATTAAAGTTTTTCATAAAGATATAAAAATTAGCACAATATAATATAATATGTAAACCTATCAGAGAAAAAATTAAGAGAAAATACACATTGAGGTTATGTCTGCATTATGTGTAATTTCTCACTGGTTCCAGTTTTTTTTATTTTTGACAACTGGTATGTCATCCACTGCATGTAAGAATGGGGAAGTTGCAGATCTCCACCCCATAGAGATTAAGTATATGACCTCAGGTTCTGTTTTTTAATATGCTGCACTGGTACATTTGTTAATTAGTCTACTTTAGTTGTAATTTTAGTGATTTTTCCGTTAAACACTGAACCTCACGCCAGTTTTCTGTCATTTCCAGGCCATTTCCAACAGAGGAGAGCCTAAAAGATGAGGACATTTACAGTACTCTGGAAGACATGATTGAGTACGTATGAGGCTTCTCTCTGCGGATTCATTACTGGTCTTGATAGAACATGATTATTTTGCTCAGTAGCAGAACCAGTTATGCACATCATCCATGCTCTCCAGGGGTCTGGACACCCACATGTTTTGGTAAAACGGTTTGCTCCATTTCTCTGTTACTGTCAGAGGAAACGAATGAGTAATTCTGCATGTTTTTGCTGAATGCTTGCAGTCCACCCACATCAGAATTCTGAATGGGAGCTGCTGACAGTTTGAATGATTGCTAAAAACAAATGTTTAATGAAATCTGGATAGAACAGATGCAGCATTTGAATAATGCCACATCATATTTATCTGATTTTCAGAGCACGTGTTCTTTGAATGGTGTATTATGTCTTTCTGAATGATTTCATTCTCAGACTAGATGCAGTGATTAGTAATTAACAACAGGATAATGGAACGTCTTTATGTTTAACATACATTACTCATATTTTTACAATAGATATAAAACAATTTTTAATCGCACATAGATGATAAAGTGTATTTCTTATTGTTTATACCTGAGATGGAAGTGCTGCTTCTGAGCCACTGTAAACAGCCATTTATAATATCTGTGTCAGTCTAACTGTTATTATTGTTTACATTATGCACAAATGGTTGCCCTCCCAATCCAAGAAGTACTTTGCGATGGATAATCAGTGTTATAGGTATTAATGTGCATGTATATGTGTGTGTGTGATAGTCAGAATGGCCCTGAGGATGAAGATGACTACGCAGCTGTCTATGGACCGGAAGAAGACTATGCAGGTGAAGAGATCTATGAAGACCTCATGAGGATTGAGCAGCATCCCCCACTGGTACTGCAATGAGTCAGCCACACACACACAAATAGAATGCTGTGCAGAATACTGCTGTGCAGAAAAAGCATTCAGTGTCTAAACCTTTAAATGGTGTATTGAATGCTTCAGCTTCAGGGATCATATATAGTAAGGTTTTCCACATTACTATATATAATAACCCACATTTTTCATATAAATTCCCTTCTCAACATCAGTATGTCCTTAAGTACTGAGACTCTGCTTAAATAGAAGTAGCACAATACAATACGTCGCAATTAAAAGTCTTGTATTCAATATTATACATAGGTAAAGGTGCATTAAAGGTCACGGGATAATTGGATCAGTATTTAATTATTATTTTTGCATGAACATTCAATCATTTCAACGTTGTAGTTGGTAAAAGTGGAGTTCAATTTGAGTGTTTCATACATAAGCGGAAAGCTGTATATACCAGTTTAACATTGGGGTCTATTCTGGATCCATTGTTACCTGCACCTTTGCCTTTGCCATTACCTGTTAAGGGTGTGGCAATAATGCAGTCAAGTAAGCACATGCAAAAATATAAAATAATTGCATTTATTTATTCATTTTAACTGGTAACATAGTGTTCCCAGAGTTTGCAAATGAAACTGTCAGTTTGTATTATCCTCACTAAATAGAAAAACAAAGTGACAGCTAATTAGTTATTCATAATTAATAGTTTAGTGTAATTTCCCTGCTAATCTTTGTGTGCAAGAATTCACAGTTCAATTCACAATTCAAGTTCACAGGACCAGCATGAAATACCAAATAAATGAAACCATCCCATTTTGTTCTGTTGTTATTCAGCTAAAATCAAATGCACCAATAAAAGATACAAAAGTAATTAATACTGCTTACTTATACTACAGATAACAATATAGTTGAAAGCATATTGACAGCTTAGAGGATACTTCTATGCCTTTTAATGTTTACTTATGTCTTTTTAGAAAAAAAAAACAGATGCCATATTGCCCAATCTTGCAGAGGCCAAGCTCTGCTGTGATCTCAGTGTGCTGACTGTCCATTTCTTCATCAGCCTCATGCTGCACTTCTTCCTTGTGTGATACTCGCAGGAGGAAGTCTGCACATGCTGCTTTAAAAATAGTGTTAAAATTTTGATGTGTGATCTGAATACAGATATTTAGTTTCTGTGTTCTTTGTACATATTGTGACTATATTTATGTTGTGGATACATTTACGGTGCACATTTTTTTTGGTCTGCGGGTAAACAAGATTTTTCCCTGTCATATAGTATTTAAAAAATGTCTAAAGTGTGTGTCTCTCTAGAAGCAGGAAGAGGTAGATGTCCGGAGCTGCTGCCTCACAGAGCTCAGACAGACTGAGGAGAAATACACAGAGACCCTGGAGTCCATTGAGAAGGTAGTGAACCACCGTTTATAGTCTCCTCTCTTACTGTTACATGACAAAGGATGGATGTCTAATCAGATCTAAGTGATTAATTGAGGCAGGAATTTGGTGAACACATTGCAGCATTGAAGAACACATATTGTGGGACATAATTAGACAACTTTTGGATTAGTCTTTTTCTCATCAAACCACCGGGGTAACTGTGGTTCAGTGGGTTGAGTAGTCGTCTCCCAACCGGAGGGTCAGAGGTTCAAATCATAGTGCCTGCAGTCCACATGTGGAAGACACTGAGCCGCCAAGTTGCCCCCGATGGTTAGAGCCATCGGTGTGAGTTGGTGCCGCAGATGGGTGCCTCGGTTCTGAACCAGAGACAAATTCCTTGTGTGTGTGTGACATACCTGGCCAAATAAAGGTGATTATTATCCCTAAACAAATGTTTGTGTGATCCACCAAAAGAATGTGATAATGGTATTATGGCTCTGAAGGGGAGTTATCATATGATAACTCACATGTGGAATTACTCATCCAGTGATGAAACTCTTCTGTAAATTATGTATAATACCTAGGAAAAGCCCTTCTTACTGGCCAAACAAGAGAGGTCAGTTGGGATTATGACTGTTATTACTCTTAATTAAGATTTGATGGATCCAAGTCTTTTTAATAATCCTAATTACTGTCTGTAGGGTACAGACCTTTCTAGGTCACGTGACTGAAATGTGAGCACAAGAATACACAAAGTTCAAATGATTACATGCCTTTATTTCTAACACTATGGTGACAGATACCAAACACTACAACTAACCAAAGGACACAAGAGGACAAAGCCAATAAAAGTGTTCTGTCAATCAAATCAACAGCACAACAGCGTATCTGTGAATAGTTTAAAGTTGTCAGCTATAAAAGCACAAGAGTTTACGCAAGTTGACTGGATGTTGGTTGAATACCTGGGTGCATTCTGGGAAGTGCTCCGTTGCTGAGTTGGTTCCAAATAAACAAAATTCTGATAGGTTTTTATTGACCCGATAGATCACTTGGAAATCTTAAATATGAAGCTGAAAGGTGATGAATGAGCCACGGAGCCAGAGTTGAGGATCCAGGGGGAGAGCTTGGTCTCACCTCACCCTCCTTACTGTTGTTTCTTCTCTTTCCTGTGGGAAAATTTCCTGAGTTTGGTCTGACAGCCTATAAGATGCATACTGGCCAATCACAAGGATTACAGTGTCCTGGCAGGTAGTTAGTGTCCAGGCCAGAACAGCAGACATACATCTGAAAGCTGAATGTTTTCCAGTTCTTTGTCCACCTTTGTCTTGAGCTCATGCACTCTATCTGTAATGCCTTTGGTTAAGATATAAGTTAAATAAGATAGAACAGTTTCATAGTTAAAAGCACAAATACAACAGTTAGAATCTTGGTTTGGAAAACTCATCAGAGTGAGAGGTCTTCACGCTGTGTATCTCTGGGATTGTGAAAAAATATAGAGTGAGAGCTCTCACCAGAGTTAGAAGATCTTGGACGTCTTTGTTGAAGGGAGGGATCCAGTCTGACAGGCAGTCCTGCTCTTTTAACTGACTTTCCCCTATACTGTTATGACATCATCTTTAGAGCCCAGTCATCTGTACCCTGAGCCCAACTTTTATGTATTTTAGGTGCATTTGGGGGAAATTCCTAGTCATCAATTCTCTAATTTGAGTTACTGTCAGCGTTTTATCTGATGCGATGTCTGTTATTGGTTGCAGTATGAGTGCACGACAGCTGTTGCAGTCATGTCATCTTTTTTTACAAATGACCTTTAAATTTGTTTTTAGTTGGCAAGTAATTAATTACTAGCTGAAAGAAGCTTGGTTTTTCACTTGCTTTTCTCCCCAGTATTTCCTGAATCCTCTGAAGAAGTTCTTCTCTCTGGCTGAGATTGAAGATGTTTTCGTTAATATTCCTGTAAGTCCCACAAGTCTTTGCTCTTGTCATCTGCAATGAAAATAACATGCATATGTCCTCTTACTCATGGCTTCCTTCTCTTGCAGGACTTGGTTAAGGTTCACAAGAGCCTGGTGGTTGATATGCAGGACTCCATCTTCAACAAAAATGCCTTAAATCTCTACCAGATCTTTGTCCACTACAAAGAGAGGTCTTCATCATGTTACACTTCCATTAAATGTTGTATTGTAGGTTGTAAGGAAAAATGTGCAAGTGCAGTTTTGACGCTACTTATTTTCCTTGATCTTTAAAGTAAAAAATAAGTATCAGTGGAAAAAAAAGCTTTTTAGTTTTCTGGATTTGTGATTTGTCTTGGTTGCTTGCCCAACCTCCTTTCGCTGTTGTGTGCCAGTACCAGGTTTAGGAATACAAAAGGTTTCATCAAAGGCTCACTTAGACTATACTGTGTTAAAAAGGCTCAGATTTGATGTACAATAGTTAGTTCTGTTTCAACTCTGTACTAAACGCAGCATGAAACTGAGAGATACAGTTTAATTGACAACTTCTGAGAACATGCTTTTTATATTAGCCATAGGATTTCCATGTAACGTGGGTGCTTGTCTTGCAACAGACTGTGTCATGAGCAACAATGCAACACTTTGATGGTGTCACTTCCCTTCCCTTCCTCTGAACTGTAGATTGCTCATTTATGGGACCTATTGCAGTCAGGTGGAGTCCGCCATCGCCACCTTAGACCTCATCTATAAAGAGAAAGAGGATGTTCGTCTGAAACTTCAGGTTAGACACATGGAGAAGCTGCTCTTCAATAATAAACACACATCATCCCTAATGCACACAGACATAGTTTTCCAGCAGCCCCTAGTGTGTATTCTGTGTACTACATACGCATTAATTATTTTATTTTTTATTTCTTTGTCTAGTTTGGTCCAGCTTTAGCAAATATTAGTATTATTAGTAGATAATTTACTTAAAGTAATTTAAAAGTAGCATCATCACACTATAAAATGCTTCATATTACATAAAACAGAAGTAACCAAAATCTATACAGTATATCAACACTAAAACTACTTGTCACGCAGCAATAACAGCATCATATTATTGTATTGTTGAATCATTATTAATGAATGTACTTTAATGTTGTGGCGATAGTATAAATGTACTTAGTTACTTTCCACTATTGGCTGTAAATAATGTATATGAAAATATTCAAACTCATCATATATTTAATAAAACTTAAATGCAAGAAAGTTTTGAAATGTTATAAGTAATTTTTAAGATGCTCTGATCTCTACTAAATAATGCCACACTGAGCTTCTTATAACTACTTGACAACTTTATAAAGTTGAAGGTTTGCAGCAGTTTTGGGCCCATATTCACAGTTTTGTACCTTTGTTGACCCAAGACTCAGTCACATGAAAGAAAGTGACACCTATAATATGTGTGTTGTATTTTTTCCAGGAGTGTTCAAAAAGAGCCAACAGTGGGAAGTTTACACTGAGGGACCTGCTGGTCGTCCCGATGCAGAGAGTCCTCAAGTACCATCTCCTTCTTCAGGTAGACTCCTCTTGATTCAGGAAGGAGCACCAAACACTCGGCAAATTTAGAAACAACAAATGAGTTCATGTTGGTCATTAGCTCTTTGTTAATCACTGACTCTGTCTTCCACTACACTTGTTTTGATACCCCCTATTTGCTGAAGCTGTGAGCTTCTTTTTGGCAATATACCTTTATTTTGACATTATTATTACTTTATACATCAAGTGGAACTTGCAGGGCTGATGTGTCTTTCTCATGGACACATCCACACTAGTTTCTGAGGCAGTAGAATGCATCCCTATTGCCCAGCCATTATTTGTTGTTGGATGGACTTGTATCCTTCTTTAAGGATATTGCATGTCTATTTTTTATATTACTTTCTCCTGTAATGATTGCAAGTTTTATTATTATTTCTTTGTTGATTCAAATTGAGAGATGTGCATCCGTGTCCACTTGAGGGCGACATTCTCCACATACTTGCTTTCTTTCACGGTGTCTGAGCCCATCCACGCCGCCAAAAAAGAACATCTGCTGTATTTTGACAAGTCATTTAGGTCTTGCATTTATTTTAATACTTCATCTCTCTCAAAGAAGGAACAGTCAATTAATGGTGTCATTTTATAATTTGTCTCAAGACATGTTAGCTTACAGGAATTCCAGAATTTTCCTCAAACAAGGATTTTTTAAGGGGAGGATCATTAGTTACAGAAGCATCTGTAGAAAATAGGAAATGCAAAAAATATATTTACAATTAAAATAATTTAATCATTTAATTCAGTTATACTTGTGAGACAGGCTTTGCAGGTCTGCCCAGTGTAAAATTGCATTCACACATTTTTGCTTTCTGTAGAAACTAGAAATTTCATCTCCTCCTGATAACTGTGTGACACAGTCTCGCCTGGTTGCTATGAATCAGAGGTCAGGCTATAGCTGGCAGGGCAGATGAATAGAGAGCTGTTTTAAATTGTTGTAAGGGGTAAAGGCCTCCTTGGTAAATGGTGGTGATCCCAGGTGTTTTCAGCCACCCCCGCGGAGAGACTTTAGAAAGGGAGCAAAAAGGGAAGAAAGGGAAGAGGAAGGGGTGAAGCTGAAATGAAATGAGAGTGGATATAGCAGCTTCTTTCTACTATACATAGCACCCATCACATGGTAAATATAGTACTGGCACTTACCAGGTGGCATTGGCAGTATGTGTTGTTAACAAGCAGCATATGTCTAGAATTAAGAAAAACTTAAATGCTAGCTGCAATAAAAATATCCTACTAAAATAGTGAAACTGCTGACACACGTAGGATGACATATTGTTTAGAAGCTGAGTTTAGTGTTATAACATGTAAATATATTGACTGGAAATTACTTTCTCTTGTCTTCTTTGCTGTGTGACCGGTAGTGAAACAAGAGTCTTCCACAGGAGATGCTGGATAGATTTCATCCACAGATTGGTTCCTCAGTGTGGGTTTCACCCCCAGCTTCCATGTACTGAATCAAATAGACACGTGTGTTGGCAGGACGATGTGGTCAGAACATCTTTTCCCATGATATCTGGCAATAAATGTCATTTGCCAGTATTTGTATGCTGCTTCAATGTATTTGTGCCTATTTTGTTATTAGCTGTCCACAAGTTTTGGAGGAATTTTTTTATGTTTGTTTATTTAACCAGGAAGTCTCACTGAGATTTCAAACCTCTTTTACAAGAGAGACCTGGTCACACTGGCGGGATTTGCAATTACAAACAGTTAAATGTAACAAAACCACACAATAACATTGCAGTCACATAAAAAGCGGTCACTGCAACTCATTTAAAATTTCCCACTAGAGACATGTGGCAAATGAGACAGATGTCAAAGACTTTCCCATAGTAAAACATTTGGGTAATGATACCAGTTTGTCAAGTTTAACTTCTCTCTGCAAAGTATTTGGAGCAGAGACAGAAAAGACCCTCTTCCACATCTTTGTCCTACCATACGGAGTCTTGAGCTGATATGTACACTAACTTTACCAAGCTTTATAATAAATTTACAAAGACACCAGGGTAGCTCGCCAAGAATGGCTTTAGAAATAAAAATGTACCAGTGACGTAGTGGGCACATGGTAAGAGAAGGCCATGCCACTCTAGAATACAGGGTACAACAGTGAATAAATGGCTCTAGATTTGTGATAAACCTTTAGACGCTATGATAAACTATGTGCACCTTGTAAAGATAATGTGCTGATGCATTCATGTATAACAAATCACCATAATCAAGAACAGGCAGAAAGGTAGAAGATACATTTATGCCAAGTTACCATAAGTGTCAACTAATGTAGTGGAGTAAAAAGTACAATATATCCCTCTGAATTGTAATGGGGTAGTATAAAGTAGCAAGTACCTTAAAATTGTACAGTGCAGTACAGTACGTTACATTTCATCACAGCCTTTTGCTTTAATGCTGAATGATACTGTATAGTCTTAAAAAGTGAAAAGAGAAGAGAAAGAAATCCTCTCTATCTGTTTCTCTCAGTTCAGCTTAATTTATAGTGTATTAAAATACAATTTGTATGGTAATAACTGAAGCATATTTGTCAATCTTTGCCTATAATTCCCTGTTGATTATGTCAAATCAGAGTAAACTAAGAAAATTAACTGTTATATATAGTATAAAAGGTCTTTTTGTTATGAAGCTGACTTACAAACAATTTACTTTAAAGTCATTTGTATTATGAAATCGATAATGCAACTATTCATGCTAAATTAGTTTATCCATTCAACTGCATCTTTGCGTGTGTGTGTGTGTGTGTGTGTGTGTGAGAGAGAGAGAGACAGAGAGAGAGAGAGAGAGAGTCATGTTTGTGAGTGTAGTTCATTATTTCTTTTCTGTCTTCCTCTAATAGGAGCTAGTCAAACACACCCATGATGCTGCTGACAAGAGCAACTTGAAGATCGCGCTTGTTGCCATGAAAGTAAGTGCAGTTCTTATGGTAAATGGTCTGCAATCATTGTAATTTCAGCTTGTTACCAATAGCAGGCTGATTTAGAGGATAATTCCAAACAGTTCCCACTACTCGGCTATCAACTTCTATTAGATGGGAAAAAGTCATAAATCATTCATGTCTCATGGTTACAAATGCATGTGAAATGACAAAAACGTTATATTTCCATCACATTAGTGAGCACTGAATGCCCCTTTCACTTTTCAGCCCTGAGGGGAGCCTGAACTTGGGAGGCAGCTGATTTGAGAACTTAGTAACACAAATGCAGGAAATGGAAAACTAGATAACTTGATTCATATGTATAATATTTACATGGTACATGACAACATAAACTTACATGTATAAAATTAAAGGAATACTTTGATTTGGGAGAACATGCTTATTGGCTTTCTTGCAAATTAGCATGTCTCCCAATATCCTTGCTTACACTAATATGCTTTTCATGCCAGTGTGTTTAATATGAAGCGCCAGCAACAACCGATTAGCTTAATTAAAAACAAAGACTGGAAACAGGGAAACAGCTAGCTTGGCTCTGTGCAGAATGCAGGCATGTACATTTGAAAAGTATGTGTGCAGAGGTAACAAAATCCGCCTTTTAGCGCCTCTAAAGCTCACTAATTAACACGTTGTATTTTATTTTTTAAAATCTGTACCAAAGCCAAAGTGTAAAAATCTTTACAAGTTACAGTTTTATGTGGGATATTGTGCTTGAATATACCACATGAAACCAAAACGTGTCATTTTTACACTTTCGTTTTTGCTGTTTTATCCTGTTTTTAGTGTTTATGCTAAGCTAAGCCAGCCTAACTGTCTCCTGGCTCCAGATTCATATTGAACGGTGAGGTGCAAGAGTGGTATTGATCCTCTTATCTAGCTCTCAGCAAATAAGTGTATTTTGAGTATGTGTATTTACCAAAATGTATGAACACTTAATCTACATGTACTGTATAGAATATCAACACTTCTAGACTTTACAAATAAATGCACCTGATATATTTCTCTACCTCCAGACTTAACTAACTCAACAAACTATGTGTGTATTTGTGTATATCTGTGTGTCTGTATTGCCTAGGACCTGGCTCAGTATGTCAATGAGGTGAAGCGAGATAATGAGACGCTAAGGGAGATTGGCCAGTACCAAAGGTCGATTGAAAACCTGGTAACCTGAAAATCTTTTTGATTATGAGTTAGAGAGGATGAGAGCTTGTCGGGTTATAAAGACCTGAATGCCTTTGGTGATAACAAGAGTCAGCAAGAAGAGATAGTGCCAGAACTTACATGATGTTTTATCGGGAATATGGATCAGTTTGGCATGCATTTAAAATGGATTAGATTTTTGCTATACTGTAGTTCCAGTATTCAGGGATAGAAAAACCCTTATTTCCTGTTCATGAAAAACACACAGATCTTAATCTTTAGACAGTTTAAATGAACTAATCCTGGGAGAAGGTCTAGATCCTTTTTGCCATGTTCTAATAAGATGCACAGTTTTCAAGTGCTCCTTTCAGCTCCTATTATTTTTTCATATTTTTCTTTCAGAATCAATCTCTAATCACCTTTGGTCGGCCAAAAGGAGATGGAGAAGTGCGCATCCTCTCCAATGTTGACAAGAGGAAGCAAGACAGGTTGTTCTGCTTCACTTTCATTGTCCTTATAGAGAAATTAGGATTGCAGTTATAAAAAAAATGACAAAAAACTGTTACCAGAATAAAAAAAGAGTATGTAAATACAGCTTGAAAGCATAACGAGTACATATCATATGTATCACTGCTTTTATATCATTCCTATCCTATAGAATGCAATTTAGACCAGAGCAGGATATTTTAACAGTCACAAGGTGCATCACTTGGTTTTTAATTAAGAAATCTCAGCAACTCCATCGAAATAAACAGAACTTCAAATGTACTTTTAATTGACCACAATTATATAATTAATAAGAGTGTGCAACCATAATTCTATAACATTGGGCCTTTTTGTTGTTGTGCAGACACATCTTTTTATTCGACATGGTTGTCATCATTTGCAAGAGACGAGGAGACAACTATGAGATGAAAGACATGCTTGACCTCAATTACTTCAAAATCACCAGTAACCCCACCTCTGACAGAGAGTCTAAAAAGGTCAGTTGGCGAGAAAAACAATATACTATTTATTATGTGCTGTATTGTATTAGTAGTTTTGCATTCTGCGTTGCATCATGGATCTCTTTCTGTATGTGCCTCACATTTTATAAAGTGATATTCTCTCCTTTTTTTGCTGTGGGGTCAATGGTGTTTTCTCTTCTCTAAAAATCCTGATTTAGAAACCAAAAAGGCTCAGTTTCGTCACCCGACACAGTTTGTACAGTATGCTATCTTTTGCCTTGTGGGAACGTTTGCAGGCGACTTGTTGATGTCTTGTTGATGTATGCTCACAGATGGTGTCTTCTCACTCCAGTGCTGATTGCTAATGCGAAACTGACAGCTTGCCAGAATGGGATGGTTTTGTGGTTTTTATCAAAGGCACTTCATTATCATCCTCATTTACTCTATTGTGCAGTCATGATGTGTGCTCGTGTGGAATATGTGCATGGCAGTGATTGGTATTGTAGACACATGGTCGTGGTCCTGTTGTGTTTTTGTGTGTACTTGTCATTATTCGTGGTTGTCTCTAACATGATTTCTAAATGAACAGTCTTGTACGAAACATATAAACAAATAGCCCATTTTTGCTGAACAAATTTGGATATGTCATTACCCTTTATTTTTTATCCCATCCAACTTTCAAAATAAAGCTGTATCGATCATATGCTGCACGCAAAGACGCAGACACGTCATGTCCATTTCTAGTGAGATTCTCACATAGGAAAGGAGAGATTTCACAGACATACAGATACTGTGCGCCACCTCTACACACACCCACAGACACCCACACCGCAGGACAGAGATGCTAATATCAGGTGATGAATGTGTGCAGTCCTCCAAGGCTGCTTAAAGCTATATATCATTTTCTACTAAATGAAACTTCAGAGTGTGGATGTGGTGCCACTGAGCACCCACACAGTCATTAATGATTTAACACTCAGCAGAGCTCTAAAACACTTGGGACTTTGCAGGGCTGGCCAATTACTGACAGGTAAACCCTACAGTACCACTTTTCCAGTTATTAGATAGGGCACAACAAGCTGGGACAGATTAGGGTCGCAAAAGACAAGAGGTTCGGGAATTGATTGAAAAACGCTACTAAATATGCCCATGGGCAAGGCGTTTAACTATTAAGTGCTGCGGTGGAGCTACATGGTGGACAGCAGTTGAAAACCACAGCTTTTTTGGATAGCCACTAACCTGAAAGTGTTGCTGAAGATAAAACAAGCAAGCAGTAGTTTTATTTTCTACTCTAATTTTTAATAGATCTAACACCTGTAAGACCTCTGGCAGCTATAGTCAAGGTCTTTGGAAGATTTTTGGCTCGGAGGTTCTGGTAGTGTTTTCCTAAATTTAAGACTTTTAAAAGCCATCTTTCCTCTGAGGCAGATTATCAGACTCTGCCTCACTGTCATCACAGCTTAAGTCCTTTACGGGAAGAACTTTGGTTAAACTCCCACTGCTGCGGCTTTTTTTTTTTACATTCACAGTATCCAGCAGTCAACACAGTCTGGCTGGTCTGTGAGCCTGCTGGCACCAACCTTGGCACCAAGACACATTACAGCATTAATGGTTGTACTGTATGTCTGATGTGCGTCTCATGAATCATTTGATGCCTTTCGTGTCCTTTCTGGTCTGAGAGGACACCGTACATGCTTGACAGGTGGAGAGCGCTCAAGAAAGGGAGCTGAAGGGGGTAATATAGAGGCAGTAAAAGGGACAAGGGAATTTACAGTTCAGAAATGCTCATCTTTGGATTAGCGTGTTTTTGTCTTCTACCATGTGTGTCAGATTAGAACATTACCGGGTTGATATGCGGGTTGTGTCTTACATTGTTTAACATGTATGTCAGAAGTTTTTGAACTGTGAAGTGGTGCTGCTGCTAAGTTGTAATTTATTACATTCTGTGATAACTAGCTGGCCAGCACTGTTAAAATCATTGTCTTAAAGGATTAGCTTGACATTTTGCGAAAGACTTTTTTATTTGTACTATTGCAAAAGGTTAGAAGATCAATACCACTTCCTTGTCTGTACACTAAAGCTACCACTATCAGCTGATTAGCTTAGTACAAACAAAAACTAAGATGTTGATGCTGAAGTATAGTCTGGCTGTCAGTCTTTATGCTGTGCTATGCTAAGCAGCTGCTGGCTGCAGCTTTAAACTTATAAGCATGATGGTGGCATCAGTCTGTTTCTCTAACTCACAGCAAGACAGTGAATAAGTGTGTTTTCCAAAATGTAGGGGTGTTCCTTTGCTTTTAGGTGTTTAGCCTAGGTGTGCCATGTGGAATAGAACAATTTTTTTTCCCATGACATCAGACAAATTAAATCTTGTGGGGGTCCATATTTCTTCTTTCCAAAGCTGTAATAACAACTTAAAGACTGTAAATTTGGTGTGGAAAACAGCAATATTAGCTTGTCAGACTAGTCACCTTTACTTATAAAACCTCTGAATCAGCCTGCAATTACACAAGGTTTTCTGAAGTATATTTTATTTTCTTTCCAATTTTTATATCTGTAGTATACTTTCCTAACAGCCACACCACAAATAACATTTAGCTTGGTAGCCATCCTCCAGTATTTGAAACAGTACACCTATTTATGTGACCCCCACATATAGAGTATCATGCACTGGTTACACTGAAACCTAAACACATCATAACAACCTGCCATAGGTGTTTGGAGATTTATGACAAATTAAATGAAAAGAAAAACATGCATTACACTAACTCAGACTGCACTTGCTGTGAAGTAACATTGATAACAGTTGACCTACTGTGCCACCCACCACTGGAAGTGTACATTCTGTGAGACAGTTATTACAGGATACATTTATCTGTGGTAATTTTTCTTCTCTACACATAAATGTGCAAATGAAAAATACATTGCTGTCTTTTTTCTGACCTCCACAGTGGTGCTATGGGTTCTATGTGATTCACCAGCAGGGCCATACAGGCTTTGAATTCTTTTTTAAGACCAAAGAGCTGCAGAAGAAATGGCTGGATCAGTTTGAAATGGCCATGTAAGTACACAGAGACATGCACACCACAGTCGTAGCCAGCTGATATCAGCACAGAAGACCACTGTGTGTATCATAGGAAAAGCACACTGTGTACTTGTGTGTGTGTGTGTGTGTGCATGGTGTTTATTTGTCTTTGTTTGCATGCGTGTTATTCCAAGGCCAAAAGAGGTGTTGACTCTTTCATATGCAGTGTTTGATCAGGTCTTAGCTGTAATCAAGCACACACTGCTGACAACATTATGATAACACACGCACATGCACAGACCCACACATTAAACATAAACTGTTCCAAAGAGGTCCAAAACTACAATGAAGTCACTCTGCCTCAATGGCTCTTCCAGTCAGTGCTGTATAGAGCTATATTTTTTGTATTATTTTGTAACAGTGGGGGGTTTTGGAGGCAGATATCCTGTCTGCATCCTTTGTGAAGTTGATTCAGGGGAATACAGTGTTGTTTTGACATCACAATCTGACATACTGAACAAATGATTTTGTGTTTGGGATGGATATGTATGAAAAAATATCCCCGATATGCATGGTAACGATTTACTATGGCCTTCATGAATACATTTTCAATTCTCATAGTGTGATGGATTATTCTTGATACATGCACTGTAGCAAAACAAAATAGTGTGCGGATATGTACTGTACATTAAGCAATGCACGATTTTAGTCCTTCTCTCTCTCTAACTTGAACTGAAAGTATATATAGTCTTGTATAGGTTCATACACTTCCTAGACATCTACACAAATCCTCATGTGTAATTTTCAAACTTTAAACAAGAAATAACCATTTTCACCCCAGTCTTGAAGCTGTTTTTTCTCTCTGGGTTTGTGTTTCTGAAAACAGCTATGTGTGCCTCTGTGAACCGGGTAATGACACCAGAAGGGGCCCATTCTGAAAGTGAAAATTGTAGATGTGATGAGGATGTGAGCTCCGGATGAAGGACTCACTTGTGGGAGCACTCAGTTTAAGTGGCTTCTGGATAGTGTATTCAATACAAAAAGGTGTTTTTGTGTCAGTCGTATTCGTTCACATTGCAGGAGGGCTGCTTATTTTTGCTATGCATGTTTCCTCTCTCATATTTGAACACATGCAGCTCAAAATTGGATTTGCCTGGGCTGATTCAAGTCCTCTTCATGTAAACATATGCATGTGCTGGGGGTAAAATTGTTTTTATTTCACACTATAAACTGCAGATTGTTTTTGCCACAGCAACATTTTTTTTAATTCACTGATAAAGAAACTATTAAGAATGCTTTGTAGAGTAAACTGAAAGAAAATCATTCTCACTACTTAAGCCCCATTTGTAGCAAAAGAACTATGCCCAGGGGACAGGAATCTTCTGTGAGAGTCAAAATCACAATGTGCTGAAGGGACTTTTACCCCAGGGAAAGTTCTTGGGCTTTAGTTCCTTGGAACAAAAAGTACCAGGAACTTTCCAGTGGAAAAGCACCTCTAGATGCACACACAAATTCAGTGATGTTTGCCAAGCTAGTGGCTTTAGAGATGGCAGTGACAGTCTGTTAGTTGATTGGTCCACCACTTTGGTCCAGACTGAAATATACTGTCTAGTCTGTCTACGTGATTACAGGGGCCGACATCAAAATCTTCTATGGACATGCATGGTTCACAGAGGATGCACCATGCTGACTTTGGAAAGATGCTGAATTTTCTTCCTACACCATCATGAGATTTACATTTGTAGTTCTGGGTGAATGTCTCAACAGTTATTGGACAGATTTCCATTAAATTTGGTCCACACATTCATGTCCCCCTTGGGATGATTTGTAATAGGACTGCTGATTCCCCAGCTTTCCATCTAGCACCATCATCACATCAAAATTTCTGTTTATGCAATACTTTTAAAGATGATATATTTTTTTTGGACATTTTTTCC